GGGTGCTTCAGGGCTCCTGCTCATCCCAAATCCAGGAGCATCCATGGGTGCTTCAGGGCTCCTGCTCATCCCAAATCCAGGAGCATCCATGGGTGTCCCAGGCTCCTGCTCATCCCAAATCCAGCAGGACCCATGGGTGCCCCAAAGCCTCCTGCTCATCCCAAATCCAGGGTGAGCAGGGCTGCAGCAGCTTCTGTCCCACGGGAAATTGGAATTGGTGGGAGCGAGGATGGGAAAGGGATGTCTGATAAAAAATTAAATTCTGATTCCAAATTTCTGCTGCAGCAATTTGGGATTTGCTGCTTTTGGGATAAATGTGCTGCTCTTATTCCCAGCCAGGCTCCATGTTAAATCTGAAAGACAGCAGTTGAGGGGGGTGATACATAAATAGTTAAATTTAAAATTTAAAAAGCCGAAAGTTATTATTTATTAAAAACAATGTATTGTTTCTCTAAAATTTTAGATTTCTATTTTATGAATTTATTAAATAGATATAGAAATTTATTTCTATTTATTCTGGACACAGCTTCACTCCCTGTGCTCCAGTTGAGCAGGAGCCGATTCCAGCCTTTCCTGAGCCCTCAGAAAAATGTGGATGAATCCATCAGGAAAGGATTAAAGCTGAATTATCCTCCCGAGATGCCCAGCTCCCCTTAATTAAGCCCATCAGCTTTAATTAGCAATCAAGTGGCATCACTCATTGACACGCAAAGGGGTGTATTCTCAAAGACAGACACCTGTAGAATTTAAAAATAAATTACTAAATAATAAAAATTAAATTAATAAATAAAATCAATTTTAAATGGAAATGAATAAAAATAAAATGAATAAAAATAAAATGAATAAAAATAAAAATAGAAATAAAATAAAAATAAAAATAAAAAAATAAAAATAAAAATAAAAAAATAAAAATAAAAATAAAAATAAAAATAAAAATAAAAACTAAAAATAAAATTAAATAAACTAAAAATAAAAATAAAATAAAACTAAAAAATAAAAATTAAAATAAAATAAAAATAAAATAAAAATAAAACTAAAAATAAAAATAAAAATAAAAATAAAAATAAAAATAAAATTAAATAAACTAAAACTGAAACCAAAACTAAAACTAAAAATAAAAACAAAAACTAAAAAAATTAATAAAATTAAAATTAAAATTAAATAAAAATAAAATTTAAAATTTAAAAATAAAAATAAAAATAATTTTTAAAATAAGATAAAATAAAAATTTAAAAAAAATTAAATTGAACCAGAGGCATCAGAAATTCTCACCCAATGTGGTTCGTCCTCAAGGAAATTTCCAGTTCTCGGAGCACCTGAGTCGACTCCTGGACTCGTCTCCTGAATTTCTGCAATGGAGTGAGCAGCAAAAATAACAATTAGGCTCCATGAAAAAAACATCACCATCTCACCCAGCACAGAGGGAATGAAGAAAACAGGGAGGAACGGAGAACTCCCCTAAATCCCCAGGAATGCAACAACAACAGCCCAGCAGTCAACACGCGTGGAGACCTCCCTTCTGCTCCCAGGAACAGCACGAAGGAAATCAAAAACCTGGAGATGAAGAAATGTTTCCTTCCAAGGCAAGCTTGGACACCAAACCTTCTCCTGAAGGTTGCAGAGCCCCTGTGCTTTGGAAAGGAGGTGGCAGAGAGCCGGGGGGCTCCTCCAGCCCAGCTGCAGCGGGGTCGGAGCATCCTCTTCTCCCTGCCCGCGGGAATCCCTCTGGAGCAGCTGCTGGGGACATCCCCGGCCTGAAGGAGAGCTCAGGGGGTGACAGGGATAAGGGCAGGCTCGGCTGGGATGTTGGGAGGGAATTCCTGGGTGAGAGAGTGGCACAGGCCACGCAGCAAAACCGGTGCCAGCGCCTCCGTGGCAGCAGAGTCCCGCTGGGGTGAGAATTCCGGGCTGGGTCTGGGGTCTCTGGTGGTGGAAAAGTCTCTCCTCCAGCCCGAGCTTCCAAAGAAAATTCAGAAATCTCTGTTGTTGGGTCTCAAGGGAGTTTATTGCAAATTATCTAAAAGATTTTCTCCTGGGGCTGCTGTGGTTTGCTCACAGCTCAGGCAGAGGCACACACACACCCTGACATCCTCTCTGACCCCGACTGCTTCTTCTCTCCCACCCAGGGCTGCTGCTCTCTTTTATATGGGACATTACGTGTGACATGGTTACAGTTTTCCCCAATGCCTATTACCTATATTAAATGGTGCTTTTCTATCTTTTATATGTACATTACGTGTTACATGGGTACAGTTTTACCCAATGCCTATTACCTATATTAAATGGTGTTTTCTATCTTTTATATGTACATTACATGTTACATGGGTACAGTTTTCCCCAATGCCTATTACCTATATTAAATGGTGTTTTCTATCTTTTATATGGTACATTACGTGTGACATGGTTACAGTTTTTCCCAATGCCTATTGCCTATATTAAATGGTGATTTTCTATCTTTTATATGGTACATTACGTGTGACATGGTTACAGTTTTTCCCAATGCCTATTACCTATATTAAATGGTGCTTTTCTATCTTTTATATGGTACATTACGTGTGACATGGTTACAGTTTTTCCCCAATGCCTATTACCTATATTAAATGGTGATTTTCTATCTTTTATATGGTACATTACATGTTACATGTTCACAGTTTTTCCCAATGCCTATTGCCTATATTAAATGGTGATTTTCTACTCTAAACCAATCTGTGAGTGCCAGCATCACCAAGAACATGGAGGTGAGGAAGAAGAAGGAGGAAGAACAGGATCAGCCCACTTTCCTCCATCTTAGAACTTCTGACCCCCAGGTACAAAGTAAAACCCCCCTGGACAGGTGCTAAAACCTCCCTGTACAACACTAAAATTTCCCCTCTGTTTTGTAACTACTTTTACTATCCCATCTAACCCTTTGTGACTGCTTGTTCCACCTTCAAAGCTGGTAACTCATCCCATGGCTCAAACCCAGGTTCCTCCTGCTCATCCCAAATCCAAGAGCATCCACGGGTGTCCCAGGTTCCTCCTTCTCATCCCAAATCCAGGAGCATCCATGGATTTGTCACCATGGATGTGAATTGTCACCATGGATGGAATTTATCCCCATGGATGGAGGTGATCTCCATGGATGGAGGCGATCTCCATGGATGGGAGTTGTCACCATGGATGGAGCTGATCTCCATGGATGGAAACTGTCACCATGGATGGGAATTGTCATCATGGATGGGAATTGTCACCATGGATGGAGGTGATCTTCATGGACGGAGCTGATCGCTACGGATGGGGGCTGATCCCCATGGATGGGAATTGTCACCATGGACGGAGTTGATCCTCAAGGATGGAGCTGATCCCCATGGAGGGAGTTGTCACCATGGATGGAGTTGTCACCATGGATGGAGCTGATCTCTATGGATGGGGGCTGATCCCCATGGATGGGAATTGTCACCATGGACAGAGTTGTCACCATGGATGGAGTTGTCACCATGGATGGAGCTGATCTCTATGGATGGGGGCTGATCCCCATGGATGGGAATTGTCACCATGGACAGAGTTGTCACCATGGATGGAGTTGTCACCATGGATGGAGCTGATCTCTATGGATGGGGGCTGATCCCCATGGATGGGAATTGTCACCATGGACGGAGTTGATCCTCAAGGATGGAGCTGATCCCCATGGAGGGAGTTGTCACCATGGATGGAGCTGATCCCCATGGAGGGAGTTGTCACCATGGATGGAGTTGTCACCACGGATGAAGCTGTCACCACGGATGGAGCTGCCACCATGAACAAACAGTGCACTCAGCTGCACTGAGCCTCTGCCAGGCCAATTCCCAGACACAAGGACTCAAAACTCGGACGTTCCTTCTCAGGGTGAGCAAAGGGCCATCAGACAGGGGTTTGGCCAAAGCCAGGCCTAGAGACAATTTGTCAGATCATTTACTGACAACGTGATTAAAACAAGCCGTGCTCCGTGCCAGATGGTCCTTGGCTTCCCAACATCTGCTCTCCTTCCCAAGCTGGAGAACTGCAGCAAATTCCCAATTTCTCTTTGCTTCTCCCTGAAACTTTGCACAAAGGCAGGAAGGAACCTGGACCCCAGCACCATCCTGGCTGAGGAACGAGGGACAGGCAGGAGGAAACGGGATGCTCCTCACCTTCCTGGTCACTGCTGGGTCCAGATATCCCTTCAGCTTCTGGATGTACGTGTGTGGAGGATTCTTCACTTGGAATCTTTCCTGGAAAAGAGGCAGGAATAAACATCAGCCATTTTACTGTGTTTACCCACAAAACACATGCACTGCGTACATATTAAACAATATAGATCTGTGATACATTCTATTCCTAAGTGGATAATCTATGCATGAAATTAAAATAGATTTAAATGGATCTTGATAATTATATCAACAGTATAAAAAGACATCTTAAACATTCGGTGGGAATTCTGAATTTGAGTAGCACATCCATCTGAAGTTCCAGGGTTTCTGCTCAGCAGGAGCACGGAGAGGAAGGAGACGGGTCAGGAGAGAAGCTGCAAGCACCAACACAAAATCCTTTTTAATCACTTGGAGCAAACCTTCCCCTATCCCAGGCTGCTCCAAGCCCTGTCCACCCTGGCCTCGGGCACTTCCAGGGATCCAGGGGCAGCCCCAGCTGCTCTGGGAATTCCAGCCCAGCCAGGAATTCCCAATTCCCAATCTCCCAGCCATCCCTGCCCTCTGGTCCCAACACCTGGTGCAGGGATCACTCGATCTCCACTCAATCCCCCCTCAGCCCCAGGTGCCAGATTTGGGTGCCAAACGCCAGCTCTGGCTGCTGAGAGCTCCCTGATTTTTCCCTGCTTTCCCAGTGTCCAGCTGGAATTTTATCCCACCAAAGCCGCCGTGAAACACGAGCTGTTCCACGAGCCCTGCGCTGCGTCCAAACCTCCTCACAGCATTCCCAAAGATTCTGATCCTACTTGTATCCTGGAAGGACTTCAAGCTATTCTGCCCCTTTCCCTGGAGGAAAGATCTCATCCCAATCTCCTGACATTTCCTCTTTTATCTGAAACCTCCCTTTATTAGGTCAGGATGCAATTCTGACTGCATTATCCCAAGGTTATTCCAGAATGAACAGGACACCCCTGCCCAGTTACCAGAACTGTCTGAACACCACAAGTTCTTCCCGTTATTATCTTGCTGCTTGCTGGAAAAGAAGTAATCCATCACGTCCAGCAGGAAAGAAAATGAAGGAAAAACTCTTCCCTGAGCTCCACCAGGCCTGGTGGGAGCTCAGGAAGTCACAGAGCACTCAGGGCTTTCCTCTTTTACAACTGGATTCTTTTTCCATGCACCTCCACGCAGCTCTGGAATTGGCATTTCCTATTTTATCTAAAAACCAGCTCAGAAAATGCAAAGTTCTTCGCTGAGGCTTCTTCTCTGGACAAAGTGACACCAGCAGGGCCTGTCCTGCTCCAGCACCGTGTCCACCACCGTGGATTCTCCTTGGCTCTCTCTCAGGGATTCCTGGAGCCAGGCTCACCTCAGTGGCTCCCATGGGGCAGACAGAGAATTCCTGGAACCCCAGAGTGGTTTGGGTTGGAAGAGCCCTTAAGGATCCTCCAATTCCAGCTCCTGGCAGCAGTGTCCCATCCCAACAGGGCTCCACCTTCCCTCTCCCCTTGATTCCCCCCTTTTTGGGGGCTCTCTGCTGCTGACAGCGCTGTGTTCACTCCAATCCCCCAGAGAAGCTCTTTTTCTCTTTTGGATTAATTCCTCTTCCCACATAATCCACCCTTGTCTGCTGAAGTGACAGGAGCTTTTCTCAACCACCAGCTTTAATTGCCTGGAATCCTCAAAATTAAACATTTCAAGAGACTCAAGGAGCACATTTGACAGTCTGGGATGCAGCTACTGGATGTTTTTGTTTGTTTTCTTCAAACCTGGCTGCAATTATGTATTAATGTAATAATCTCTGCAGCAACTTAATTTAAAAAGACGATGCTGATCCTTGTGGAGTGGAATTATTTGGGTTAAAGGACTTTGCAGATGTTATCCACGAGCAGCAAACACCAGCAATGCTCCTACCTGAGGAGTGACCAAAAATGACTTGTGGTAAACATCTCCTAGGCCTGGAAACATTTTTACAGCCCCCTCAAGTGTTTCTTTTTTGCTGGTTTGGAAAGCTACGAGGGATTAGCCTTTAAAATTGCCCTTTCCTGGCTACGATTCCTGTCTGGGTTTATCCAGCTCGGAGTGTTTTATATTAGAGGCTGATTAATAAGCTGCAAGGGCCAGGCTGTGCAGTGAGGCCTCCAAGTCACCCTGGATGTCTGGTCACAGCCACCCTCTTCCCAAAAATCTGACTGGGAGCTCCGAGGGCTTGGGAATGGAGCTGGTTGCAGGGCGACCTTCCTGGAATCCACCAGGATCCTCTCGTGGTCCTCCTTGGGAGCATCCCAACACCCACACTTCCCAAGGCACCGCTGTGCCTTAAAAACCACAGTGAAAGAGTTAAAAACCCCCTGCTTTTATTTCCTGTCAGCTCCTCCCCTCCACTTCTGGCAATTCCCACCCACTCCTTGGCCAGCTCTGCTCCCAAAGCCAGGATTTGACACATCTGAGCGATGAGGTCGGGCATTCTCACCCCACCAAAAGCCTCAAATCCGGGCTGGAGCAGCCAAACTTTGCTCAGCAGATGCTGTGGGGTGACACCACGACTGGGACTTTGCTGGATGGAGCCATTCAGACACACAGCAGAGTTCCCAAATCCTGGCAAAAGCCTTTTTATCTCCATCTCCTGCAGCATCATCTGCAGGCTGAAAGGACACGGAGCAGCAGGGACTGCACGCTGCCTTTGTCAGCCACCAGCCCGGCAAACCAGCTTAATTCCCAAGGATAAAATCCTTTCTGACTCGGAAAATCCCTGGGGAGGGGTGCTGTAAGGCAGGATGGAGCAGCACAGGGAATGGAAGGACAGCAGCACAGGAGAGAAATGAGATAAGCTGGGCTCAGCATCTTCCTTTGGGGGAATAAATGGGGAGAACTCACTGGGATTCAGTTCTGAATTTGGGACAAGGGATGGAGGGACAGGAATGGCTTCCCAAAGCCAGAGGGCAGGGATGGCTGGGAGATTGGAATTGGGAATTCCTGGCTGGGCTGGAATTGCCAGAGCAGCTGGGGCTGCCCTGGATCCCTGGCTGGAATCAGCTGGGATAGTGGAAGGTGTGCCACCAGGGCAGGGCTGGGACTGAATGGCTCTGAAGTCCTTTTCAACCCAGCCCCATTCCATGATCCCATAATTCAGGGAAAATCATTTATTTGATCATTTGTTCATTTGATCATTTGTTCATTTGTTCATTTGTTTGGTCATTTGCTCATTTGTTCATTTGTTCATTTGATCGTTTGTTCATTTACTCATTTGATCACTTGTTCATTTGTTAATTTGATCATTTGATCATATGTTTGATCATTTGATCATGTATTTGTTAGTTTGATCACTTGTTCATTTGATCATTTATTTGTTCATTTGATCATTTACTTGTTCATTTGATCATTTACTTGTTCATTTGATCATTTGATCACTTGTTCATTTGAGCACTTGTTCATTTATTTGTTCATTTGATCACTTGATCATTTGCTCATTTGTTCATTTGCTCATTTGTTTGGTCATTTGATCATTTGTTAATTTGATCATTTGCTCATTTGTTTGGTCATTTGATCATTTGTTCATTTGATCGTTTGTTCATTTGTTTGATCATTTGCTCATTTGATCGTTTGTTCACTTGTTCATTTGATCATTTGTTTATTTGCTCATTTGTTCATTTGATCATTTATTTGTTCATTTACTCATTTGATCACTTGTTCATTTGTTTGCTCATTTGATCATTTGTTCATTTATTCATTTGATCATGCATTTGATCATTTGATCATTTATTTGTTCATTTGATCACTTGTTCATTTGCTCATTTATTTGTTCATTTGATCATTTGATCGCTTGTTCATTTGTTCATTTGAGCACTTGTTCATTTATTTGTTCATTTGTTCATTTGATCACTTGATCATTTGCTCATTTGTTCATTTGTTCATTTGCTCATTTGTTCATTTGATCATTTGATAATTTGTTTGGTCATTTGCTCATTTGTTTATTTGTTCATTTGCTCATTTGATCATTATTATTTGCTCATTTGATCATTTGCTCATTTATTCATTTGCTCATTTGCTCATTTATTTGCTCATTTGCTCATTTGATCATTATTATTTGCTCATTTGCTCATTTATTCATTTGCTCATTTGCTCATTTGCTCATTCATTTGCTCATTTGCTCTTGTTTGCAAGACCCTGAGGTCAGGCTGAGCCTGTGCAGGGCAAAGCCAGCAGCGCCCAGCAGCCAGAGGGAATCCAGGATGGAAACCCCAGAGGGGAAAGGGACCATCCCTGTGTGAGCTGGCACCAAACAGCTTCTGCCCGACCTGCTGCCAGCACAGCCCAGAGCTCAGAGCCCTCTGAGGAACCATCCACGCCACAAACCAGGGAGTGCCAGCAGCCCAGGACGGGCTGGGGTGGCTGCAGCCACCACCGCGAGACCTCCAGGAGCAGAACGGGGCAGGAATGAGTGCCTGAAACTCCCTGCACGGTCCTGCCCAGCCCAGGGACGCTGTGGATGGAGCAGCTGGGAGGAGGCACCTCCCAAAAGCTCTCACCTGGTCACAGATGAGCTCCCACTTCTTCTCGTTGTCGTACTGCCGCAGGAGCCGGGCTTTGTCCGGGGGCAGGTTCATGGCATTCTGTGGAGAGAAGGAGCACTGTGAGACACCCACCACGGCCAAAGGGCTGCAGCAAGCCAAGGCAGCGTGCCTGAGGTTGCTGAATTGTTCCCCGTGAGTTCCTGATGCCAGAGCTGCTCGGGAACGTTCCCTCCCCGTGGTGGTTTTGGCCCCAAAAGCGCCAGAGAATCACGAGGCGCCCGAGGGCAGAGCTGGGACACACGAGGTGAGCGACTGAGGGCCAGCCCTGAGCTCCAGCTCCTGCGTTTTTAGGGAAAAAATATTCCCTCTCAGGGTGGGAAGGTCATGGCAGAGCTTCCCAGAGCAGCCGTGGCTGCCCCTGGATCCCTGGAAGGGTCCAAGGCCAGGTTGGACACAGGCTTGGAGCAGCCCGGGATGGAGGGAGTGTCCCTGCCCATGGGATGAGCTTTAAGGCCCCTTCCAGTCCAACCTGGTTTTGGATTCTGTGACCATCCACCTCCCTCCAGCAGACAGGACAGGGTTCCCCAAGCTGCCACAGGCACAGGAGCCACTCTGTGCCCCAGCCAGGTCCCCCTCCCTTCCCCTGAGCACATTCCAAAGGGAAACACCCTCACTGCAGCTGGGGCTGCAGGACAGTCCCCCCAGTGAAATGCCACTCCATTAAACCTCCAACAGCTACCCAGGCTGGAAAATCACCATCCCCACCTTATCTGGATGACACAGATCAGACTGCCCAGCCCCCAGAGACAACAATCCCAGACCCTGAGTGACAGGACTGGAAGGAAGGGGAGAGGCAGCAATTATTCGATCCCTATCGCTCCTGCCTCCTTTGATGTGAGCTCTCCTTCCAGGAGAAGGAGAAGGGCGGCTTTCCCAAGAGCCCTGTCCCAAAATATGAAGCATAACTGTTGTGCTTGTGCTCCTGGAGAACCCAGGAAGGGTGGATGGGACCCAGGAGCACCTGGAGAGGACCCAGGAACACTGGATGGGACGCAGGAACACCTGGATGGGACCCAGGAGCACCTGAATGGGACCCAGGAGCACCTGGATGGGACGCAGAAGCACCTGGATGGGACCCAGGAACACCTGAATGGGACCCAGGAACACCTGGATGGGACGCAGAAGCACCTGGATGGGACCCAGGAACACCTGGATGGGACCCAGGAGCATCTGAATGGAACCCAGGAACACCTGGATGGAACCCAGGAACACCTGGAGAGCTCTGCAAACACCAGGTCTGGGAAGGATCCCCATCAGCCCAGCCAGGCACAGCAAGGCCAAGTGGTGGGTGGAGAATCTGCTGAGCACCCCTTGGGCTCCAGCATCTCCTGGGCTCCAGCTGGAATTCCCAGACTGGCCCCAGTTAAGCCAGTTAACCCCTGGGGACCTCTGGCAGTCCATTCCCAGTGAGGAAGAGCTGGCCGGTCCCGGTGGCACCGCACACAACAATAAATCAGGAATCAATAAATCAGAGTTTTGCACTGGAATCCCACTCCAGGAGCACCTTCCCCAGCTGTGTGACACACAGCCTCCAGATTTATTCCAGCAGGCTGTCCTGGGGGTCCCTGAACCATCCCAGACCCATCCTCTTCCCTTCCTTCCCTTTGTTTCCTTGCACAAACCCTGTCGCAGGGAAGAGGAAGGATGTGAGCAAGCAGCACCTGTGGGGATCAGCCAACCAGGACACCTCAGTGGCACCCGGAAAATCAGAATTGAAGGGAGCTCCTGGCAGGATCACAGGTGCCAAGGGCGGTTCTGTGCCAGGGGATGCAGTGCTGACCACACTGATGGGCACCAGGGCAGAGGCACAGCTGAGGGTTTGCTGGAGTGCTCCTGCTCCTGGGGATCCCCTCCACACCTCCTGCTCCCATGGCTGCTCCTCCCAGAGCTTGTTTTCCATCAGATAACGATGACTCTTTCTCCTGCTCATCCCTGCTGTCAAGCTGACAGCATTTATAGGCTCTGATCATATCTGGGCTGGCTTCTCCTCCCAGTCTCTCACCAGGCACCTTATCAGCCCCGCTTATCATTTCATGCACTTCTTGGTATTTCTCCTGAGGGCTCTTCCAGCGCCATTCCTTGCTCCTGAGCCGTATTTCACAGCTCCACTGGCTCCCAGCTGGAGGAAAAGCTCGGGTGTTTACCTGCACTGCAGCTCTTGTCAAGCTCTGATCTCCTTTAATCAGCTTAGGCACCCTGGCTGGCACCAGGGCAGGAAACCTGCCTGGAAAGCTGGCCATGGCAAGAAGAGCCAGGCAGCATCATCCCCCCATCATCTCATCTCCCCATCATCCCCCCATCATCTCCACATCATCTCATCTCCCCATCATCTCCACATCATCCCCCCATCATCTCCACATCATCCCCCCATCATCTCATCTCCCCATCATCTCCACATCATCTCCCCATCATCCCATCTCCCCATCATCTCCACATCATCTCCTCATCATCCCATCTCCCCATCATCTCCACATCATCTCCCCATCATCTCATCTCCCCATCATCTCCACATCATCTCCCCATCATCTCCCTGCCAAACGAAGCGCCCCAGCCCAGTCTGCAGCAGAAACGCTTTGCTGTGCTCCACACAACCACTCCAGCTCACTCCAGACCTCCCTGCCCTGTCCCACAGGCAAAATCCTCTCTGCACACCCTGGCTCAGCTCCCTGTGTGCAAGCTGAGGGTGAACTGCATCCCAAAAAGGGATTTCAAGTGTCACCGTGGTGTGGGCAGGAGCAGGGGCACTCCACAGTCCCTCCAGACCTTGGCTTGAGCTCTGCTGGAGGGAACTGGGAAGGAAAGAACCACCTTGGTTACCTGCATGTGGCTGTGGCACGTGCTTCTCTCTCTCAGGATTTTTCACAGAGGAAAGAAAGAGAAAACAATTTCTGTTTCTGCTCCTTGTTTTTCCCATGTGGAATGTGTTTGGAGAATTGTTTACCTGGGGTGATGCTGGGTTGGATTCTGGTGAGGATTGTTTGAGCCTGGTGGCCAATCCAACCCACCTGGGGCTGGGCTCAGAGAGGGTCACCAGTTGTGTTAAAGTCAGAGAAAGTAGTGTGTAGTTTTAGTATCCTCCTTTTATATAGCATATTAATGTATTTTAGCATAGTTATAATAAAGAAATCATTCAGCCTTCTAAGCTGGAGTCAGACATAAATATTTCTTCCCATTGGGTTCACCTGCATTTACAATTCTAAACAGAATCCCAGAATGATGAGGTTGGAAAAGACCTCCAAGATCACCTATTCCCTGACACCTCAGCTGGACTATAGCACCAAGTGCCAAGTCCAGTCTTTTTTTAAACACATCCAGCGATGGTGATTCCACCACCTCTCTGTGAAGACAATTCCAGTATTTTATTATTCTTTCAGTGAAAATTTTTTTCCTAATATCCAACCTGTGCCTTCCCTGACGTAGCTTGAGAAAATGGGATCCTAAACCACAATATTTTTACCTCCACGGGAAGCAGCAGGTTTATTTTATTTTTTTTTTTACATCCCTGCATGGCAGTACCCCAGTGGCTCCTGAAATGCAGGAGCACTGCTCCCAGGCCCCAAACTCCAGCCTCAGCAGCAACAGGAGCCGAGGCAGAGCTACTGAGCTGGCTCCAGGAGGTTTGCTGGAGTCACACCCAACCAGACTCATGGGTTGTCTGGGTTTCTCATTCCCTGTGGATCCCTGGAATGACTCACCAACATCTCCTGGCCGCTTCCAGCTCTTCCAACCCTGGGCTTCACACACCCCAGAGTTCTTTAGTTAATGACAGGCCTATGTCCTGTGGTTTCCCTTTCCATCTTTTCCCAATTAGAGCTTTGGAGGCTTCTGAGAGCAGAACTGATCCCTCCCTAAAGCAACCCAAACTCCTGCCTGTGTCCCCTGTGCCACCACCCACTCGTGCAGCTGGAGACCCTTTGCCAGCAGAGCAGATTGGGGCAGCTCAGGAGGAGCTGCACCTTTAACTGCATCCCACAGACCCTTTTCCATCAGTGGGAACTGCAGCTGAAGCAGCCCCACTGCTCTGCATCCTCATCTCCATCCCCATCCCCATCCCTGGCCAGCCCTGCCAGGGATGGCTCCTCCCAAGCACAATCCTGGGTAAAAATCAATTTTTGGCCAGGCTATTTTGCCCACCTTCCTCACTTCCAACTTTCTGTCGGAACTCAAAATGTCCCTCAGACATTTTTGGAGGTTCCAGGCCCAGGTCAGAAGCATTTGAGACCCTGGCACAGCTGGAAACAGCTGGGATTTTGGGTTTGAGCCATGGGATGATTTACCAACCTTGCAGGAAGAGCAAGAAGTCACAAAAGTTTAGATATTAGAGTAGAAGTAGTCACAAAGCAAAGGGAAGAATTTTTTAATATTGTACAAGGGGGTATTAACACCTGCACGGGCGGGGGGGTTACTTTGTACATGGGGGTCAGAGGTTTTAAGATGGATTTGGGATTTGGGCCTGCCCTGTCCTCCCTCTTTCTCCTTCCTCACCTCCATGTTCTGGGTGATGTTGGCACTCACAGATTGGTTTGGAGTAGAAAATCACCATTTAATATAAGTAATAGGCATTGAGGAAAACTGTAAACATGTAACACGTAATGTACCATATAAAAGATAGAAAAGCACCATTTAATATAGGTAATAGGCATTGGGAAAAACTGTACCCATGTAACACGTAATGTCCCATATAAAAGACAGCAGCAGCCCTGGGTGGGAGAGAAGAAGCAGTCGGGGTCAGAGAGGATGTCAGGGTGTGTGTGTGCCTCTGCCTGAGCTCTGAGCAAACCACAGCAGCCCCAGAAGAAAATCTTTTAGATAACTTGCAATAAACTGCCTTGAGACCCAACAACAGAGACTGCTGAGTTTTCTCTGGAAGCTCGGGTTGGAGGAGAGACTTTTCCAGCACATGGAGCCCCTGAACCAGGCTGGATTCTGACAACTTTCCTCTACCTCGGGCTGCTCCCAGGGCTGGGGAGGAGGAAGCCAAGCTCTGCTTTTCCAGCTCTGGAGAGGAAAGAGGAGCCCTGCGCTTCCCAGGGCTCAGC